AATGATTTGGTGGAAGAGTTGAGTGAAGAAAACCTCCGACTATTGAATGAGTTATTGGTTTTGAATCAATGCTTTCGTGTCTTCAATGAGTTTCACATATATTTGCAGAAAGTCTTCACTTTTAAGACAACTCTCGAAGAACTCAACCAATTGTCACCACAAGAGGTCCACAGACTTGAAGAACTCGAGAGCGAACTCAATGTCATTATCAATGAAACACAACATAAGAGGAAGTGGTCTCCAGAAGAGACATCATTTCGAGAGAATCCAAGAGTCGGATCAGATGTCAACACACGTGTGGATCACATGACTGTCGCCACCACTGGTTGGCCGCCAATTGAGAGACAAACACATGATATGAATGAAGATATCAATGTATCAGATGATGACATAAAGCCTGTACTGACACCTGAAAGCGATTGCATTTCATTGTCTGCAACTCAAGAGATGTCGAGTATTGACAATACTGTAGACAATGTGTCGATTGTTAAGACATCACTCGTATTGAGTGGTAATAGAGTTCCCGAACAGCAAAACAGAGGCAATCGTTTGTGTCTCAAGTTTTCAAAGGATTTTCTAAGATTTAGACAGATAGAGATGTCGAGTATTGACAATACTGTAGACAATGTGTCGATTGTTAAGACATCACTCGTATTGAGTGGTAATAGAGTTCCCGAACAGCAAAACAGAGGCAATCGTTTGTGTCTCAAGTTTTCAAAGAATTTTCTAAGATTTAGACAATTGTCGGCACAGAAGAGGAAGTGGTGTTCAGATAATGTGGATTTGAATGACGAGAGGAATGAAGACATAAATGCCATCACTTTGAATGAAGATATGATGTCTAGGGATGAGTTGGCCGTCACTGACAGCCATAACAAGACATCACTTGCCATACAATCGACAACATCTCACAAACCATCGGTTGATAACAACAAAGCCCTACGCGTAAAACGAGTGACCGTTGGAACAGCTTTGGTATCACAACCGACGACAACAATCGAAGAGACAATTGTGTCAAACAGTGCTATCATTAATCCATTGGCTGTCAATACTGTGAACACATGTAAACAATACCCAACACCTCAGCCGTACTCTACAAACCCTGTAACTGCTGAGAAGACAACTCTGGGGTTAAAAAAGTTTTGTGAACAGAAGTTTGTTTGCACTCACGAGGGCTGTGGCCGTGAATTCCTGAGGCCTCGCGATCGGCTCTTTCACATTAAATACATGCACTCATTCGCAGCCGAAGACAAATCTATATTAAAGCAGTTCCAGTGTCCGCACGACGACTGCGATCGGGTTTTCAAATATGAAGGTTTGTTACAGAGACACGTGGATGACGGGCACTCGACCCGTGAGTATCGGTGCGATTGGCCCGACTGTCAGTTCTGGACACATACAGAATGTTTGCTCGACAATCATCGACTCGTTCACAGCGAAGATAAGCCGTTTGAGTGCCAGTGGCCGGGATGTGACTACAGGGCAAAGACTAAGTACGCAATGACTTTTCATGTCAAACATAAACACCTCTCCGATCCGTTGGCCTGCGATTGGTCCGAATGTGGCCGAAGTTTTGCGTTCAAAACTCAATTGATAAAACATATGTCTGTTCACAAGGGATTGGTTCCATCGGTATCACAATCACTCGATAAACCCTTTGTATGCGCTCACGAAGAATGCGGCCAACGGTTCGCCACCAAAATCCAATTCAATCGTCACGTGACAGCCGCGCACCCGACGGACCGGCCGTTTGCCTGCGATTTCCAAAACTGTGGCAAACGTTTCAAAACTAGAAATGCATTAATTATACATAAAAAGGTCGTTCACTTGACTGTCGGCCAGCAGTTCCGGTGCCCGAAGCCGGGCTGTGGCCGAGCCTTCAAAACTAATTTGATTTTGCGCGGACACTTGAATGGCGTGCACTCGACCCGTGAGTATCGGTGCGATTGGCCCGACTGTCAGTACCGGACACATACACAGCCATTGTTAGACATGCATCGACTCATTCACAGTGAGGACAAGCCGTACGCGTGTGATTGGCCCGCGTGTCAGTACACTGGCCGTAGTTATGCTCAGTTAAATGCCCATAAAAAGACTCACGAAGACAATAGACCGCTGGCCTGTGATTGGCCCGAATGTGGCCTACATTTTAAGACTACACTCCGTTTAAAGGAACACATGATTGTTCACAAAGGATTGGTTCCACCCGTCAATCAATCGGCCGACACATCCTATGTATGCGCTCACGAAGACTGCGGCCAACGTTTCGCCACCAAAATCCAATTCAATCGTCACGTGACAGCCGCGCACCCGACAGACCGGCCATTTACGTGCGATTATGAAAACTGTGGCAAACGTTTCAAAACTAGAAAGACATTAATGAATCACAAAAGGGAAGTCCACTTGACTGTCGGCCAGCAGTTCCGGTGCCCGGAGTCGGGCTGTGGCCAAGCCTTCAAAACTAAATTGATCTTAAGAGCACACTTGAAGAACTCGCACTCGACCCGTGAGTATCGGTGCGATTGGCTCGACTGTCAGTACCGGACACATACACAGCCATTGTTAGACATGCATCGACTCATTCACAGTGAGGACAAGCCATACGCGTGTGATTGGCCCGGATGTGAGCAGAGGACCCGCACTTATGGTCAGATAAATGCCCATAAAAAGAGTCATTCAGACAATGGACTGCTGCTGGCCTGTGATTGGCCCGGATGTGAGTACACGGCCCGCACTAAGAGCCAAATAAAGATTCATCAAGTGATCCATAGCGACGACATGCCCTACGTCTGTGATTGGCCGCAATGCGAGTATAGGGGCCGCAGTAAGCGTCGACTTAATGCACACAAGAAGATCCACGATGATAATAAACCCGTGGCCTGTGATTGGCCCGCGTGTGAGTACAGGTGCCGTACAGTTGATGCTATGAAATCGCATCGACTGATCCATACGGATGAGCGGCCGCACGCCTGTGATTGGCCCGATTGTGGCAAACGGTTTAAGTCAAAAAACATGCTCAGAGACCATGTGGTGGTCCACACGGGCCCAGACATGCGGTGCGATGTGAAGGGCTGTGAGTTTAAGACCAGACATAGAGTCAGTTTAATTATCCATAAAAAATCATTTCATAAAAAACGCGTTTAAAATCTTTTGTAATTATATTTAATTTATAAATCTGTAAAGTGTTTACATTTATATTCATGTAATTATTATATGAAATGATATTTTTGTAGTTATTGTGCATTAATTTAATATTAAAACTAAATTAAAAGAATTTAAATTAATATTCACTTTTTTAACCATATTCTGTCACTTTATACCTCATGGGGTGTTATATGAGGGGTCCCTGACTCGGGTAGGCTTCAAAATATTATGGGGTATTACCTGGTAGTACACCACACCCTCTAAGAAATACCACATGCCCCATGTGACATGGGGTATAAAGTGACTGAAAACGGTTCATAACTTTTTGTACATTATTTATTTGAACGTAAGTTTTGTGTGAAAATTCATGCATTTGTTTACAAAACAATGGTTTGAATGAAATGTTTGATTGAATTGTGATTTAAATGACAATTGAATTAAAGTTTTGATGAATTAGTGGTAAAAATATGTGTGAATTAGTTATCAATGGTTTGGTATCGCTTTCACAGGACATCACAATTGAATTGTTTTGTTCGTTNAAGAAAACCTCCGACTATTGAATGAGTTATTGGTTTTGAATCAATGCTTTCGTGTCTTCAATGAGTTTCACATATATTTGCAGAAAGTCTTCACTTTTAAGACAACTCTCGAAGAACTCAACCAATTGTCACCACAAGAGGTCCACAGACTTGAAGAACTCGAGAGCGAACTCAATGTCATTATCAATGATAAACAACACAAGAGGAAGTGGTGTCCAGAAGACACACCATTGAGAGATAATCCAAGACTCGGATCAGATGTCACTACACGTGGAGTTGACGTGACTGTCAACAGCACCGGTCGTCCGATAAAATATGAAACACAAACGTGTGATACAAATGAAGAGATTGTTAGACCATATGATGCATCAGTCGATGACATCAACCTTTCAGACAACGAACAAAACAATTCAATTGTGATGTCCTGTGAAAGCGATACCAAACCATTGATTACTCATCACCTCATGTCTGGAACCGACAGCACATGTAATACTATTTGCGATCAACCCTTTGAGTCTAACAAAGATCTCGGGCCACACGTGCGGACACACGCGACGGACGATCACATCCAGACACTGATTGCCACAAAATCTAAGTTTCGGTTCAAATGTTTGGCCGAAGAATGCCGTAAGAGATTCATAGTTAAGACATCACTCATTGAACACATGCTAAACAGTCATCGAATAGAAGACACGTATGAATGCAAAGATTGCGATGCCGTGTGTCTGACCACCGATGAGATCATTAGACACCGACAACGAGAGCATGTGATGAAGACATTTGTGTGCACTCGTGAGTCCTGTGGCGAGAGTTTTAGCGGACAAACGGCTCTTTGGCAACACATTCAAGACATTCACACAACGAATGATAGACAAAGTGTTGAGATGGCAGACAATTGCGACAATGAATACTCGGATTACGACGGATCTGATGGTGTGATCGCAGAATCAGATGATTGCGAACACAATGACGAATATACGGCTGTAAGCGGTGGCCAATCGCGTGACTTTAAATGCGATTACAACGGGTGTAATATGACGTTCAAAAGGAGCCCAGATTTGCTAAGACATCGGTTCACACACTCGACGGACAAACCGCACAAATGTCCGGCCGATGGCTGCGGCTATCAATGCATACGTCGGTGCGAATTGCGGATCCATTTGAAACGGAAACACAGAAACGACAAAAGTTTGAACCAAATACTCGGATCAGATGTCACGACAAGTGATCATCGCGTGACTGACACCAGTGGCGGAAGATCTGAGAGATCAGTTGACAAACGATTCAAATGCACAGTTAATGGATGTCATTATTCGGGTAATAGTTTTCATGAGCGGAACAGACACACGATTACTACTCATAAATCAAAGAACCGGATCCGTTCGGGTGATGGTTCTAAGCGTAAAAACGGAAAAAGCTTTAAATGCGATTACAATGGATGTCATAAAAGTTTTAAAGAAGGCAGACATCTCGAAAGGCATCGGTGGACACACTCGGCGGTCAAACCATTTAAATGCACAGTCAATGGGTGTATGTATTCAACTATTAATGAATCTCAATTAGAGGGCCATATTAACAAACACCGGGGTATTAGGCCTTTTGTATGCACTCGTGAGGGCTGTGGTAAAGGGTATTATATCAAGCGGTGTTTAATAAGGCACACGCGTATCATTCATGAATCATGAGACTATGATGTGATTGGCTGTCTGTTTAGTATTAGTTTAAAAATATAATTAAATGATATATACATTTAGATTATGTTTATAATAATAAATTGGATGTATTTTAATATAGTTTTTATTAAATGCTTTAATAAATCTAAAAATATTAAATTGATTTTTCACTTATCATTATTATTATTATATTATTTAATAATTAAATTAAAAGTTTAAAACTTTTAACAGTTATTAATTTTACTGATTTTTGAACGTAAGTTGTGTTAAGCCGTGAGCTCTCAAAAGTCATGCATTTGTTTACAAACAATACTTGTATTCAATGTTTGACTCAATTTTGGGTTAATTTTATCATTAGTTTTGATTTGAATTAAAGTTTTAGTAATTGAATGAATGATTGATTAAATCTGTGGTAAAAATGAGTGAAATATTGATCAATGATTTGGTGGAAGAGTTGAGTGAAGAAAACCTCCGACTATTGAATGGCATATCATTTGAGAGACAATTGAATGAAATGTTAGAAAATATCGCAAAATATTCATTGGATTTGAAAACCAATTGTTTTTGTGAACGAAATAAACAGACATTTGTTTTGTTGAATGATTTGCACTCAAAAT